GTATTGTTGTTTTATTTGAAATTGTTATCATATTCGTATTATTGACGTCGTTGCTAGTCATGTAATATTATATGTTATAATATTCTTGAGAGAGGAGGCATGTCGCATACGACTTATTTACCACTTCCGTGTCACTGAGAATGTTCTAGAACCATACTGTGTCTGGGTAAAATATTCTATATTTTTTTAGAAACTGGTTGAATAGGTAATAGAACACTGTAGGAGGCAATGGAAGGTAATGAAACATTCTAGAAATTTGTAGTAAGTTCAAGACTCATTATGTATGCTGATGTAATGGTCTATTTATAGACAGTGCGGGTATATATAGGGGAGCTGTTCAGCACTGAGATCAGATCGGAGATCTCGTTGAATTGTATTTGAGTTTAAGTATCTAGTTATTGGAGTAGTGGAGTTTTACGGTGTTATTGTACTTGATGTTTGCAGAGTATAATAATACCAGTATCAGTTGAAACCTCATCTGTTGGCTCCGTATTCGTATTTTATCATCGCCGCCAGGGAAGTCTTTCTGTTACTGTTGCCATTTTGGTATTTGAACCATCACACCTGTACTATACCAATTACGGTAATATTACGTTGCGTGTGACTCCCGTTTCTTCACCACGTCTTTGTTTCTCAGATTGCTTGATGGAGTGGGGAATGTCATACCTGTCAAAAACCATTGCAATAGCCATAACACCAAGATTACCACTAATTAATCTTTCTAAGTACTGCAGCACTTGGTTCCCTATGTCATCAAACGTGTTAAAATGTGTTTCCTGGAGGCTTTGTAAAAGAGCCATACCATCAATAACATAACCTGTTGTTGGACCTGTAATCAGGCTGTGTAATTCTTCACAAGTGGCTTCAAGTTTCTTAGCAAGGTCCAATTTATTACATTTTCTCATGGTGCCATCATCATGAAAGAGAGAAGGAGGCACAGCAGCCAGTTCATGCTCTAGTACAGTTTTCAGGTTGACATCTCTCTACTTAAAGACTACTAAAAGTCGACGGAAGAGAACCTCTGAATCAACCATAAACTTATCTTACTTTCTAGTCATCACAGATTCCCGCATGTCTGCAAAAGTTAGGGTTTTCATGCGAGGTTCAGGATCCCGAAAGCTCTTTGATTGTGTACTTTCTACAAGCCGTGTTGGAAGAAAGCTTTTGTGCTTCTTTTTACCATTATCAAGAAATGTAGTTAGGCTCTTGCTTACCTCTGTTGAGGCCACTTGACCCGTAGCAATGTTGATTAGATGTGGGGGAACAGTATCCAGATCGAATGGATTCTGGTATTGTGTAATAGTTTCCACAATCATGCATACATCTTGTTCATCCCTTGAAATCCTGGAGTTTCTTAATTCTTCATGAGATGTTTCAGCATTGGTATTGGTATTGCAGAGTGACTTAAATGCTTCTAGAAACTCAGCAGTCACATGTCTTGTCTCAACCAACGTGAAAGGGCACCTTTGCGCAGTGTTAATCCAATCACACCTCCTTTACTTTTACCATCTCTATTCACAGTTTGTTCTAAGGCTTGGCCTGTTGCAACACCGTTAAATTGTCGATAAGCTGACCTTCGGACAACAAATCCACCTTCACACAGGTGTTTGTAGCTTTCAGGGTGTTCTTACTCCAATGCTTTCATATCTGCTACATACGTTGGTAGATATTTGGCATGTGTATGTCTGCCAGCTGCACAAAGCC